ACAACCCCCCCACAAACCCAATACCCACCACACCCCATATCCACACCCCCCACATGCTCCCTCACTCCACATACCCAACCACCCACAGCCCCCCACAAACCTATACTCACCCCCTCACAGTATATAAGAGTAAGCCTTCATTTTAAGCTATTATATACAATCATCTCGATGTACACTGCACAAACACAGGTAAATCAGGACAAAAATGTTTTAAATCAAATTAATGAATGTTGTAGATGTTTGCTTTTTTGGATATAATTGGGGGGGGGGGGGGTTTGGCTCTGAGATGGCAAAACCCCTTGCTGAAAGGAGTACTTCCAAGGACAAGGGGAGGGACTTCCGGTGGCAGAGGTCAGGGGACAGGACTTCTGGTCACAAGATGACCGGGGGTGGGGCTACACATGCGGCCCTTGACAGCTCGTCAAAACTCAGTAACCGGCCCTGCGCCCAAAATAATTGCCTGCCCCTGTAAAAGCATATATGTTGTCCAAGTAGACTAGTCACAGGCCAGTGACATTTTGTCAGTGCTATGGATACCAATGAGTCGATAATATGGATTTAGGCTTGTTTGGACTTCCCAGTTACTAATGTTTAAAAGCTGGTATACTGCTGACACCCAGGTTATTTTTTTATTTTATACTGTGCACATTCCTATTACCTCAGTCATGCTATAAAGTTCAGATCAGCAATATTAAGCAGTTATTACACAACAGAACACAGGCTCCCTTGGGGAAATGTCTTTAGGCAAGCAGGAGGCTTTGTCCTCAGTGTCGCATTGCATTATATACTTGGTGTTTATGATAATGGTCCATGTATCTATTTGACAGTTTGAGCTCATTGTCTGACTATTACTAAACTAATGTCAGCCTGTGTGGCTTTGCTTTTGGTGACTTTTCATATAAAAGACATGGGATCAAAATCTGTTCTTGGAAATGTTGGTTTCACTGGAGTTACCTCACATTTAAAGGTGTATAACCAACAGCAGAATTTGTTCCACAAACAATAGACACCTTATCTAACATCATTACCCGGACTAATGGCACTGAAATTAGGGACTGTGTATATATTTCCAAGTGGTCTAATACCTGGGTAGGTATTTCTGATCAATGAGTAGGTAGAAAGAAATAATACTTAGAATCCCCTTGACTTGACTTGAATAAGCTTGGCCTGGTGTGACCCTGGTTGAAGAAAGCTGCTTATTCAGGGAAGCAGGTAAGCATGTTAATGGTACTCAAACACATGCTTATAACACATGGTGGGACCATAACCCATGGCTGGGCAGTACGTATTGAGAGCTATAGGTTGTACAGACGGGACAGAGTAGGGAGAAAAGGTGGGGGAGGGGTTGCTCTCTCTGTTAAGGCGCATTATACATCTACCCTAATCAAACTGGGATCATAGGAAGAGAAAGTAGAGGCATTGTGAGTTAGGATACATGGAGGTAGAGGGGAAAGGGACTTGGTCTGCTACAGACCACCACATCAAGAGGAAGAGCTAGACTTGGAATTCCTGAGGCAGCTCTCAGAGGCCGTACAGTCTAGGGATGTGGTTGTCATGGGGGACCTAAACTACCCGGACATCTGCTGGGAGGAGCAGTCAGCCAAATCCAACCATTCACGTAGATCCTTAACCTGCATGCAGGACCTTCACCTAGAGCAGGAGGTATACAGTCCCACTAGGTGGAATGCCTTACTGGACTTCGTGTTGGCTACAGGGGATGACCTGGTAGGGGAGCTGGAGATTTGTGGTCACCTTGGGACAGTGAACACCAATCAACTGAATTCACCATATGGCGTAGAGTGGGCAAGATAATTAGTCATTGCCTGACTTTAGAAAGGCTAACTTCAGTGTGCTCAGGAGTTTAGTCAATGAAACACTGCAGGACAGGAGTATTGGTGAGATGGGAGTCCAGAAAGGGTGATCGTTCCTAAAGGAAGTGATCCTTCAGGCACAGAGGGAGACGAAAGGGAAAGGGGGGGAAAGGGGCCAAAAAACTTCCTTGGCTAAACAGAGAAATCCAGGGGAGTCTAAGAGCGAAAAAGGAGGCATATAGGCGGTGGAAGCAGGGGGAAGATACCAAGGAAGAGTATACCTACTTGGCCCACACTTGCAGGGAGGCAGTTAGAAAGGCCAAGGCAACTACAGAGCTGAGGCTGGCAACACAAATGAAAGATAACAAAAACTCTTTTTTTAGGTATGTAGGGAGTAAAACGAAGGCACAGGGCAGCATAGGACCCCTACTGAGCAAGCAGGAGCAATTAATGACAGACAGGGGGGACAAGGCTGAGCTCTTCAATGAGTTTTTTGCCTCAGTGTTCTTGAACAAGGGTCAAGATAAATCTCCTAACAGGTTCTTAGATGGGCATCATTGGGACACCAGCCTACCAACTGTCGATGCTGACTTGGTGCAGTCACTTGGATGGACTGGATGTGTTTAAGGCAGGAGGCCTGGATAAGCTGCATCCGAGAGTACTGAAGGAATTGACCGGTGTCATAGCAGAACCACTGGCACGGCTGTTTGAGCGCTCGCGCCGCTCAGGTCAGGTCCCGGGGGAATGGAAAAGGGCCAATGTAGTCCCTATTTTCAAGAAGGGGAGGAAGGAGGATCCGAATAATTATAGGCCAGTCAGTCTCACCTCCATCCTTGGAAAAGTCTTTGAAAAGATTATTAAGGATCATATTTGTGGGAGTCCAGCGGGAAAAATAATGAATCCATGCTGGTTGCATAGCAGGTACATCATACCTGACTAATCTGGTTTCATTTTATGACCAGGTCACAAAATGCTTAGATGCAGCAGAGGTGGCTGTTGTTTTCTTGGATTTTTGGAAGGTCTTCGATATGGTATCCCATCTTATTCTCATAAATAAATTAAGAGGCTGTGACTAAATGTTTACACGGTCCGGTGGGTGGCAAACTGGCTGGGGGTCACACCCAGAGAGTGGTAGTAGACGGGTCGGTATTGACCTGGAAGGATGTGGGTAGTGGGGTCCCACAGGGCTCGGTCCTTGGATCTGTACTATTCAATGTCTTCATCAGTGACTTGGATGTGGGTATGAAGTGTACTCTGTCCAAGTTTGCGGATGATACTAAATTGTGGGGTGGAGTGAACACTCTGGAGGGTAGGGAACGATTGAAGGCAGACCTGCACAAGTTAGAAAAGTGGGCAGAACACAACAGGGTGCAGTACAACAAGGACAAATGCAGAGTGCTGCACCTAGGGCGTAAAAATCCAGTACACTTACTGGCTAGGAAATGACTAGGCCCGTACAAATAGGCAGCCATTCGATTCGGCTTCAGATCCAGCCGCTTTGGATGCCAGGGATCTGATCCGGAGCTCCAGATCAGTTTTCTGCTTCGATTCGTCCGAAGCGGCTCCAAAGCTTTGGAGCTGCTTCAGAGATCCGGTCATAGGGTATAATGGGGAATCAATGAAATATCTATAACGTTGTTGTTTTGTGTCTGATTTGGATGAAACTTGCAGAGGTGGTAGCCTCTGCTGAGGGCATGAGGCCTGCCAAGTGTCAAGAAGATAGGTGCAGGGGCGTGGGGGGGAACTGCACCCCAAATTCTTGAAAGCAAAACTCATGTCACATGTATGTGTTACAACACAGGGGGATGAAAACTGCAGGGGTGGTGGCCCCTGCAGAGGCAAGTACTCCAAGGTGATAGGTGCTGGGGTTTGGGGGGAACTGAAGCTCAAGCTGTTGACATGCAAAACTCATGACATAGATGACCGTGTGTGTTAAGACACAGTCCAAAGCCTCACACAGCTGTAGAAATGACCCTCTCAGCAGCACAGAAGCGGAAAGGGATCTCAGAGTCACAGTGAACTCAAAGATGAACATGAGTTGTCAGTGTCACAAAATCATCAGCAAAGCTAACCGCACTTTATCATGTGTCAGCAGATGCATGACAAACAGATCCAAGGAGGTGACACTTCCCCTCTATGTGGCATTGGTCAGACCGCACAGTTGGAGTACTGCGTCCAGTTTTGGGCACCATACTTTAAGAAGGATGTGGATAGGTTCAAGAGGGTCCAGAGGAGCACCACTCGTATGGTTAAGGATTTACAGGCCAAGCCCTATAAGGAGAGACTAAGGGACCTGGACCTGTTCAGCCTTCGCAAGAGAAGGCTGAGGGGTGAACTTGTGGCCGCCTACAAATTTATTAGTGGGGTGCAGCAAGATATCAGAGATGCTTTGTTCACCACAGGCTGCCTCTTGGGTAACAAGGAACAATGGTCCCAAACTGACAGAGAGCAGATTTAGGCTAGACATCAGGAAAAACTTCTTCATGGTAAGGGTGGCCAAAATTTGAAATGGGCTTCCAAGGAAGGTTATGCTCTCCCCTACCATGGGGTCTTTAAGAGAAGGCTGGATAGGCATCTGGCTGGGTCATCTTACCCCAGCACTCCTTACAAGTTCAATAAGGACAACTTTCCTGACTAGTCAGGGGGCCGGACTCAATGATCTGTTGAGGTCCCTTCCAACTGTAGTGTCTATGAATCCTCGAAGAGGGATGAATTAAGGATGGGTCTAATGATTTTTTTCCATAGGGATCAATTTCCATATAAAGCCAGGAAACTGAAGACTGGCACTGAAGACCTTACAAGCAAGATATGTTTCCCTTTCTGGAAAGGCTTTGTGTTTATGTGTGTGTCTGTCCAAAAAAGGAAACACATTTTGCTTGTGTATAGTACATAAAAAGACTTTAGTGAAGCAACTTCAATATGTACCACCTCAGGATCTGGTCTTAGATTTTAACACATACTATGCAGTTAGAAGAGTCTTTCAACTGCTCTTTTAAAAGCTCTGTAAACACCTGCAAAATCATCCAGAGCGCAAAGCCATATTTTCTAGAGTTTATTGAACTATTCCACAAAAAAGAAAAACACAGATGAACACTTCTCTGAGTGAAATGCAAAATGATTTAAGGACATATTTTAGATTAGTCATATTCTAGGTATATTCTGCTTTGATGAAATGGCAGTGCCAACACACACAAAGACAGATATTGTTTCTAACAGATGGAGTCACTTGAGACTGCGGGGGCTCAGAGACAGTACAGAAACTCTAATAAAAGTCAATTAAGACATTCAACAACTTGTAAGCTAAATATTTTTGTGTCTGTTAATGGGCTCTCAGATTCCATGCATGTATTCCTTAACTCAAACTTCTTCTCAAAGCCAAACCTTCTTACTAGGAAGGATGGGGTGGGTCTGCTGTCATGCACCCTAATTAGAGGGGCTGCTTCTTCTGGATCGAGGGCTGTCTTGTCCTTTTCTCTCCTCTGATTCACTCTTTTGCTCAGCCTCATCATTGCCCTTTTCTAGAGACACCGCTCTTCTCCAATGGGCAGCTTTATATGTAACAAGCACACTAGCAGAAACTACGAGAACTGAAACAAAAAATGACAGGACCAACGATTTCCACCAGATATAACTGGAATCCTGTGCTCCGGGAACTAAGAGAAACAAAACAAGGAAAAGAAAAACGTAAGACACGCAGGACACAATTCTAGCCTGTTTTCTTCCAGGCCTTTTGGTAACTAAGTATGTGTCTGCACCTAATTTACCCCTTACACTGACTGCACCTGAACATGTAAACCAGCAGCCCAACTGCTAAGGTGAAGTGAAGCTGCTTTGTACCAAGTGATTGATACTCTCAGCACCTAAAGCTGGCCATGCACAAGAAAGATCACTTAAGCAAACATGGTACAAAATCAGCATAGGGAATCCTACCAGAACCATCTACTCCGAATGAGTTATCTATACCTCACTCAGCCCTGGATGGTGTTTGGGTATCTAAAAGACAATTGTTATAATTTATGCTAGAGCCCAGGCCCAAATTGGGATTCAGAGAGTGTAGATTGTAACCTTCTACAGCTCTCCAGAGCTGCATTCATGTTTGGACTTAGCCAAAGATCTGCATGACACTGTTCGAGAGAAGAATCAGGCTCCTTCTCTCTCTCCCTCTCTTTCATATATATATAATGAACAGCAGCAGCTGCTCCAAAGGTTGTTAGTTTTCCCTGTACAGTTGATTAAAGATACTTTGGAGCTTCTAGTATTTCCAATGCCAAGCACCCAGGGAATATGCAGGGTGGACTCTATTATGCAAGCTTTAGGTGCAAGACATGGGAAGTGATAGTGTCTCTACTCAGCACTAGTTAGGCCTCATCTAGAATACTGTCTGGAGTTTTGGGGTCCAGATTTTAAAAAGGACATGGAGAACTTAGAGAAGGTCTAGAGGCAGGCAACAAAAATGATAAAGGGAGGCAAGTCATACAAAGAGAGGCTGAAAAAGCTAGGCATATTCAGCTTGCAGAAAAGGTACTTTAAGAGGGAACCTGATAGCAGTCTTCAATTACTTGAAAGGCTGCCATGTAACAGGAAAAACACTTTTTCTCTCTTGCTGTAGAGAGTAGGACACAGATCAAGGCTTGAAGTTGCACTGAAGTAGGTTTAGATTGACTATCAGGAAAAACTTCTTCACTGTTAGAACAGTGGGGCAGTGGAATAGACTACCTAGAGGAACTGTGGACTCTCTATCACTGGGGGTTTTCAAGAAGAGTCTGGACACCCACTAGTCAGGATGATCCAGGCATAGGTATGACTGTGTTCTACTATGGTTATTTCCCATGCTTCTGGGATTTGCTGGCTGCTGCATGGAACTGTGAGGGAATATTTTTTTCTCCTGCTGCTATATGTCAGGTTTTTTTAAGCTTTCCATTGGGTGCTTGCTGCAACCAAGGCTGGGAATATCGACTAGGATTTGCCAGTGCTCCTGCTGGGACTTAAGCCAAGAGGTTCTTGGCTAGAGGGTCTTACCCTTCTGCTCAGGGTCAGACCAACTACTAAATTTGGGGTCAGGAAGGAATTTTACCCCCATGGTCAGATTGGTATGGACTCTGGGAATTTTTGCCTTCCTCTATAGCAGGGGGTGTGGCCCTCTTCCTGGGATCTCTCAAGTGTATAACAACATTTGTGACAGCAGGCTGTTGGCTGCCATAGTCCCCCTGCTTTACATGTGACAGGTTAGGGTGTTATGCCTTGTGTTGTGTCAGAGTTGACTGTGTAGTTTTGCTAAGAAGTAAGACAATGGATTTGTATAGGATGGTTAGGATAGATTCATAGATGTTAGGGTCAGAAGGGACCTCAATAGATCATCGAGTCCAACCCCCTGCATAGGCAGCAAAGAGTGCTGGGTTTAGATGACACCAGCTAGATGCCTATCTAACCTCCTCTTGAAGACCCCCAGGGTAGGGGAGAGCACCACCTCCCTTGGGAGCCCGTTCCAGACTTTGGCCACTCTAACTGTGAAGAAGTTCTTCCTAATGTCCAGTCTAAATCTGCTCTCTGCTAGCTTGTGGCCATCATTTCTTGTAACCCCCAGGGGCGCCTCATAGGGCTTGGCCTGCAAGCCCTTAACCATACGAATGGCCCTTCTCTGGACCCTCTCCAAGTTATCCACATCCCTCTTGAAGTGAGGCGCCCAAAACTGCACGCAGCATTCCAACTGCGGTCTGACCAGCGCCCGATAGAGGGGAAGTATCACCTCCTTGGATCTGTTCGTCATGCATCTGCTCATGCACAATAAAGTGCCATTAGCTTTTCTGATGACTTTGTCACACTGACGACTCATGTTCATCTTGGAGTCCACTAGGACTCCAAGATCCCTTTCTGCTTCCGTGCCACCAAGCAGGTAATTTCCTAGGCAGTAGGTATGCTGGACATTTTTCCTCCCTAGGTGCAGCACTTTGCATTTCTCCTTGTTGAATTGCATTCTGTTGTTTTCTGCCCATGTCCAACCTGTCCAGGTCTGCTTGTAGTTGTTCCCTGCCCTCCGGTGTGTCCACTTCTCCCCACAGTTTTGTGTCATCCGCAAACTTGGACAGAGTACACTTCACTCCCTCGTCCAAGTCGCTGATGAAGACATTGAAGAGTATCAGTCCAAGGACGGAGCCCTGCGGGACCCCACTGCCCACACCCTTCCAGGTCGATACCGACCCATCCACTACAACTCTCTGAGTACGACCCTCTAGCCAATTCGCCACCCACCGGACTGTGTAGTCATCCAAGTCACAGCCTCTTAACTTGTTCACCAGTATGGTGTGGGATTGGGATAATCCTGCCCTGGATGACCTCTCAAGGTCCTTCCAGCCCTGCTTCTCTATGATTCTAAGCACAATACTCAGCCATGTGAGTACTTTGAAACGTGACTGACAGAGCTGTAAACAATGGTGCCTTTGGTAGTCACCCGTTTTCCTCCTTTGTGCTGTAAAATGCGTAGAGGATCCCCCTCTCCCCTCCTGGCCAGGAAGCAGACTGGGTGCAGTGAGTTTTCTGCAGAGGGAAAGAAATTCCTCCGAGGGTGCGCAGCCTAAGAAGCGTTGCCAAAAGCTGCAACTCAGGCACCATTGTGATATTTCACTGTATACTATGTCCTCTGATAAAGACTACAGCAAATACTGTGAAATACTGTGTAAAGTGTGCTTTCACCTGGTGTGACCTTGCAAATCCACGAAGCCAGTTCTGAGCAGGGAGATGAAATCAAGGTCCCATTTACAGGTTCAATCTGAATACACAAATCCTGAGCCTCTTGGAAACCCCTGAAAACCAAAACAATGACATGTATCTTTATATTAATCTGGATTTCCTGACCTCAAAGTCACAGCAACATTCCTCCCTGATGTCCTCCCCCAGTAACACTGTCACCCTTAGGTAAAGGAAAGGTGAAGCTCATGAGAACGAGAATTTATTTTACCAATGAGGCACTCCGGTGTCTCTACCAGGCATGATCCAGGTTTTGGACTGGAGATTATGGCTCAGCTTGAGTAACCAGCTTTTCTTAGAGATGACTTTAGCAATCCACCTCTGCAAATAATAAACAAAAGTGGTACTGTAGCAAAGATGATGCCTACAATGTACACCTGGATAACAAGGAGAGATCCCCAAATAACTAAATACATACAGTCTCATTTTGGCAGCAGGATGGCACATCCAAGTCATGAGGCAAGTTTTTTTCATTCTTAATGCCAGTTAAAAAGAAAGAGGCCATTTTAATATGTTAAGAGCCCAAATCTGCACCCGTGGAATTTTGATTTAAAATGGTAACAGGTGCAGGAGGTTCAACCACGTACAGATCAGCTGCCTGACCATAATGAAGTACTAAACCTAGAATCTTTTTTAAAAGGATGCTGTTAGACAGTTTAGAGCCAACATTTAACTTGCATTACAGTGCACTTAGTAGATGGGAATGATCTTCGGGTCCTGGTTCTATCAAATTATCTATCTAAACATCCTCACTTTGAGTTTTCTGTACTGTTCATTCATAAAAGAATTTTCCCCAGATAACTGCATAGCAAAGTTGTTTTTAAAACTTCATTTTTTTCTTAATCTCTCTGCCTTGATTTTCTAATTAAAGACAGAAAAAATGCACCTTTCAGTTGTGAAAAAATTCAATACAAATTGACATATACTCCTTCACACACACAGAAAAAAAACCCCATCACACACCATTTTTGTAGGGCATACATAGCTCGAAATTTTTAGTTTCTATTCAGTCCCTACTCAGACAAACTCCCACTGATATTAAAGGGAAGCTTTGACTGAGCCGGTACCTCATGCTTTAGCTTAGTGATAGTATTTACTAGTAACATTTAAAGCTGCTGACAGACGTGAAAAAAGCACTTTACTAGACAAAGCAGTGCATTAGTTCAACTGCAAAAGAGGGCTCCTAGGCTTTTTTATTTCTTTACTTTTCTCTGCAGTGTCTATATAGATCGTGTTCTTCAGTGGGGCTTTTTGGTGCTTTTATCTAAAGCTGATTCAATCAACTGTTAATTAAAAGTGCCAAGAAAGCCCTGCTGAAGCGCCCAATCTATACAGACATTGGGCAAGCCAAGTCCAACTAATGTGATGCCTCTTCTGGGCATATGCTAGCCTTGGTGCAGGGGCACATAGAGTTTGAAGTAAAGTGTTGTTTTCTTTGGGTTTTTTTAAAGTCTGTAAGCAGCCTAAGTGTTGGGCTAAAAACCCATGTTCAGTGCTGTACAAATACAGAGTAAGAAAAAAACTGTCCGAGGCTCAGAGAGTTCACAATCTAAGTACAGGTTTGTTCAGCTGGCTGGCAAACCCTATGCTGACAAATCCTGATCTCAACGAATCATAAGCCATGTCCTCACAAAGGGAAA